GGTCTGGAGGAGCACGTAGGGTCTGGAGGAGGATGTAGGGTCTGGAGGAGGATGTAAGGTCTGGAGGAGCACGTAGGGTCTGCAGGAGCACGTAGGGTCTGCAGGAGGACATAGGGGCCAGTGAGCCCATGCTACGGGGAGGAAGGGTCTGGAGGAGGCCGCTGAGCAGGGCTGCCCAGCCGAGTGTGGAGAGGCCGCTGAGCTGTCCATGGAGAGGGCCCTGGCTCTGCTGGGTGTCTTTTCAACAACAAACAAAATTACACTGAATTCTTTACAATGGATAAAAACTAAGTCCATAAGAAATTCTCAGCACAACACACAGGATCCGAAGGGGACCCTGGAACAGACCTGGCATGTCGGGGTGATGTCCCTCTATGCTTTCTCTGTGTGACACGTCACTTGGTGATGGTATGTTTATGGGGGAGGGGGCAACCAGGAAGGGGGGTGGGCATTCTTTGCAACCAAATCTAAAATTTTTCATGCTTATTAGGATTTTTTAAGATTTTTTTTCCCAAGAATAATTACTTTGTTTATTAACATTCGGTTGTGTTTTTTTTTTAATTCATTGTGTGCCATCAGAATCAGATTCGATTGGCACAGCAGGAGTTTGCCGCTCCTTCTCCAGCAGAGTACCGGTGGATTCAAACCACAAGTCTTCGAAATTGCAGTGCAGCTTCTTGCCACCAGGCCACCAGAGCTCCCCGATTTTTTTTTAAATATGAGAATTGGCTCTGGTTGTTTAAGGAAAATGCTAAAATGTGAGGTCATTCTTCGATTCCATGGGTGAAATGCATGGATCCAAAGAGAAGGCCAGCAGGATGGGGGCCTCAGGCTGGAGTGGGGCCCCCTTGCAGGGCAAGAGCTGCACGAAGGGGACAGTTGGGGTCCTAGGACCCGGAACGGGACCCAGCATCATGCTACAATTCAGCTCTCTCTGACGGGTGTCATAGTGCAAAGGCCTGCCAACCCAAAAGTGGTGAGTTCGAATCCACCACCAGCTCTGCGGGAGAAGGATGGACAATCTCCTCCCCTGAGATTTAATGCCTGTGGAAACCCGCTGGAGGGTCAGCTGTGGTCGGTTCTAACTCACCAGCCATGGGTCAGAGTTGAGGTGTCTCTTAAAAGGGATTAAGAACTTAAGGTACTCAAACCCCAAGAACCCAAGACGTCTCTCGGGGCACCCCATGGCATGCTGCTCAAGATAAGGTGATAAGGTCCCCCCATGGCACTGCAACTGTGGGAAACTGAGACACAGAAGGGTTAAGTGCCATCCTGTTCCTTTCTCACCCCAGGTGCCCAAAAAGGCCATAGATCCTACCTGGGGGGCCAGCATCCAGACAGAGCTGCAGGCCCCGGATGGCCGCCTCCACCTCCAGAAGAGGGCTCTCCTCACACCCTGGAGAGACAGGTCAGCAGGGGACAGGAAGGGAGGGGGCCGCCAAGTCTGGATTCCCCGCACCAGGGAGCCAGCTCCTGCTGCCCACCCAGGTGAACTCTACTTCCCACTGAGAAGAATTCCATCCCACATTCCCATTGTACAGAGGGCAAAACCGAGGCCAGGACCCTCCAAGGCAGGCATTCACTCACCCTCAGGGTCAGTCCTAAGGGTGCAATGGGTGAGCAAGTGGATGTGGGCTGCGGGGGGACTTTTAGAGAGGGAGACCTATGGAGATAACAGAAGGAAACAGTAGTGAGGGGCTGTCCACCCCCTGGAGAGGCTGACAGTCCTGTCCCCACCTGAGACCCCACCTCTCCCTCCGCCACAGCTGACCCAGCACCGATGGTGGCTCTACTCGGAACAGATTCAGTGCGGAAGGTATACAGAAGGCGCTCAAGTGTGTGTGGCTTGAATGAGAGCAGAGCCTGGCCCTTGGGAAACCCTCCTTGCCAGGGTGGGAACACAGCTGGACACAGACGGGCCCCACCCCCACGGGATGGGGCAGAGGGTGCAGTTCAGGACTGGGTACCCAGATGGGATGAGTCAGGAGTTCAGGGAGAGCTGCATGGAAGAGGGGGCTGGAGGTAGCGGGGTGTGCCCTGGGGTTTTTGGGAGAAAGAGGAGTCCCCACCTGTCCACTCCTCCACGTGTCCAGGCCCCCAGGTCCTCACCTCGCTGCCCCACTCCATGGAGTCCGGCTCTGAACCCTGTTCTGGTCCTGAGGTCTCTTTGGGGGTAAAAGGGCCTGAGGGACACAGTACACTTGGAAGACAGGGCTCCATCCTACTGGGGAGAGGTACCTGCCCCCCACGCCACCTCTGCTGTGGACATGGCAACATTGTGGACCAGGTAGGGGCATGGCCATGTGTGAGAACCGGGACCAGTGTCAAGCAGGTGCAAGCAGATGAGGGGAGTGGGGGTGGGGAGAGCTATAAACAGGTGTGAGGAGGTGTGGGCAGGTCACAGCAGCCTCGGGGTGCAGGTGCCAGTGCAGGTGCAGGCAGGCGAGAGCAGGCGGTCCTGGCCAGGTGAGGTACTCACAGGGTGGCCGGCACTGGGTCAGCAGTAGCTGGCCCATCTTCCGGAACAGCCTGCCCAAGGGCTGAGGGATGGCAAAGATGGGGGGGCTGTGGCAGGAGTGAGCGGGCAGCCGGTCAGGAGTGAACCCCTTAAGAGAGAGTGCTGGGGTCAGCGCTGGGCTCGAGCTGCTGGCCAGGCTGACCACCTTGCTGGTGGGGTCCCACAGGCACGGATCCTCGAGTCCACGAAAGGCTGGCCAAAGGGACCCAGTCAGAGCGATGAGTGCCCAGGTCACTGGCTCCGAGACACCTGGACTGCTTGAAGGAATTGTCCCCCAGGCTGTGTGGACATGGGACCGCCCCCCACCCCCGTGCCTGGCTCACCTGTGTGAAGAAGTCGTCCTGCAGCACCCGGTCTAGACTGGGCCGCTCGGCCGGGTCAGGCGCCAGGAGGCGGGCGATGAGGCGGCGAGCGTTTGGTGACAGGTGCTCAGGCTCTGGGTAACAGCCGGCGCGAATGTTCTGGTACATCTCCGACAGGGGGGCCGTGCCAAACGGCGGCGTGCCGGTCAGCACCGTGTACCTGGGCAGGTGGGAGACATCTCCTGGTGGTGGGGCAGGATGCGCACACCTGGCCGTGTGACCTGGGTAACATGCTCTGCCTCCACTTCCCACCACTGCCCACAGGCACCGTCCACTCAGGAGCGCACAGCCCCAACCTGCCCAGGGGGCCATACCTGTCCCGCACCTGTGCCGCACCTGCACGCTGCACCTGCACGCATGTGTCCCATACGTGCATGCTGCCCCTGCATGCTGCACCTGCACACACCTGTCCCACACCTACACGTCTTTGTCCCACACCTAAACACACTTGTCCCGCACCTACACGTGGCACCTGCACACACCTCCCTAGTTCTGCTTTCCACAAGGGCACACTTGCTCCGGTGTGGAAGTGGCCCTGACTTTTGGACATATGCCCACATGTCCTGATCAGCAGGTGCAACTCCCACCTGGCACACTACCCTGGAGCCCAGGTGCCCCCCAGATGTACTCACATGATGCAGCCCAGAGCCCAGATGTCTGACTGGCAGGAATGTCCGTTTCTGGAGACCACCTCAGGGGCCAGGAAGTTGGGGGTCCCACAAAGCACTCTGTGGAGCAGGAAGGCTGAGCCCACCACAGACCAAATCCTGCGCCCTGCCCCCCCGTGCCCAGAGGTCTGCCCAGAGCCTCCCCGCCTCACTTGTGGCAGCTGCCCCCAGGCCCCATCCTGGCAGCTAGTCCCAGGTCTCCGATCTTCACCTCCATGTTCTTGTTAAGGAAGAAGTTACCTGTCAGGTAGAGGAAGGGGGTCTGGGATGAGCTGCAGCCACACTCCAGCCCCCCCCCCATATGCCCCCAGCACTTACTGAGCTTCAGGTCCCGGTGGACAATGCGCCGCCCGTGCAGGTAGCGCAGGCCGCTGACCAGGCCCCTCAAGTAGTAACGCACCTCTGGCTCCGTGAGGGTCTGCCGCACCTTCAGCACATGGGCCAGAGACTATGGGTGACAGTACACACAGGGGCTCAGGCCAGGGGATCCAAGTTCACGTGGCCAGACAGGCAAAGGGAGGCTCAACTGGACCGAGCTGGGCATGACCAAGAGCGGGTGGGCACAGATGACCACAGGTGAGCTCAGGTGGACCCACATGGCCACAGGGGGCACAGGACGGGCACCGGTGAGCTCAAGTGTGCTTAAGTGGCAAAGTGGCTTTAAGGCATCGACGAAGGCCCAGCTGAATGCACTGGGGCCTGTGGTCACAGCTGACCACAGACAAGCGCATGTGGAAACCAATGTGTTAAGATGGGCCTGGTGACCACAGCATAGGCTGGACACCGGTGAACACAGCTGACCTCAGACAAGCCCAGGTGGACGCAGGGGAGTGAAGGATGGGGCGTTGGCCGACGCGGGAAGCACTGGTGACTGGACATGGGTAGAAGGTACATAACAGGCACACGGACACATCCAGAGACAGGAAAGTGCAGTGACACGATGGACACGGCTGGGGACTCTGCCTACACCACCCCCTTCCTGGGGCACCTGGCGGCTGCAGTATTCCAGCACCATATACACATGGTCGCGGTCAGCAAAGTGTCCGTGGAAGGCCACAATGTTCCGGTGTCGCAGGCAGCTGTGCAGCGCGATCTCCCGCTCCACCTGTGGGCATGGACCCTGTGTGCACACCCGTGGACAGGCCAGCATCCTGTCCTCGGGCAAGCACTCCTCCACCCCGCGAGAGGCCAGGACCCAGGGGCTTGTGTCCTCTCTTTGGGAGTGTCCTCTCTAAGTGCGTATCCCCTTTGGGGGAAGTGTCCCCTCAGGGAATCAGGGGTCATTGTACCTTTCCCCGTGGACGCAGCCGCCCAGCAGCACCCCCGCCACGTGGCACCACCTTGAGGGCGAACACAGCGCTGGTGGACATGTCCATCACTTTGTAGCAGCGGCTGAAGGCACCCTGTGAGGAGGAGGATGTCCAGACAGGTGTGCTCAGGAGTGCGTGGAGGTGTGGTGCCGCGCACAGCAGGCAGGGGCCGACAGAGGCATCCGGCCTCCGGGAAACAAGTGTGGCCACACGCCTTCACACACACCTGTAACTGGACACACACGGCTCTACCTCCACAACTGAATATACAACACACAGCCACGCAGTGGAAGACACACACACCCCTGCAAGTGCACAGCACACAGAAGGCACAAGCCGCGCCAGAGGCTCACTACACCAGGCGCTCACACCCGGGCGCTCGGAGACGCCACTCAGCACCGAGCCACACGCAGGACCGTCACACCCACGGACTAGGATGCCCGGCCCTCGCCCTCTTTTCCTACGCCCCCCCGAGGGCGCGCGTCCCCCGCCGCGGGCCCGGGGAGGGGCCCCACCTTGCCGAT